TTGTTATTTAGGAGGTTGTTTTATTCTGAAGTGCTTCATATTTACAGGGTTCATGCAGGGTCTTAAAAAGTCTAAAATTTGAAAATCAAAATTTTAGGCCTAAAAAAGTCTTAAAAACGCCCAGTCTTAAATTTAATTTAGTCAAGTCTTAATTTTTTTTTTTACTTTCGATCATTCCAGAGAAGCGTTGGCTGCATAAATAAACTGAGTAAAGAGTCGTAATCAGAGTTTGACTCGATCCATCTTCATGAAGTGCCAAGTTTGCTACTGATCTCAGTCTGTGGTTAAACTATAAATCCTCTGATTACTGCAAGAAAAAAATAGCAGTTTACTTCCATGCTTTCAACCTCTTTGCCACTACAGCCCCCCGCAGCCCACCCCTTGTTCACCCRCCCAACAAACAAAGACGTTCAGTCATGTCCAATGCTTGCGGTTTAAACACGGGAAAGTGTGTTTTCAGTGAAACTTGGCTGAKATCAGTGATTGTTACACTCTGATGGAAGCGTTCCACAGCAGTCCATACGAAGGTCTCATAGATATGACTGTTTTATTAAAAATAATTTAGGGTTCTTTTATTAAAAATAAATATTCTCTAATAGCTAAACTGATAGCAATAAAAGGTTTGTATGTCAAAATTTCTGGGACCATTTGAATGTTTTTATTAATGTGTCGGTTTGGTCTTAAATGTCAATCATAATGGTCTTAAAAGCTCTTTAAATGGTCTTAAATTCAACTTACTGAAACCTGCATGAACCCTGTGTTTAGAGAAGCAGTTTTTCTGCAGCTGAAGGCAAAGGTAGAGTTATGTTTTTGTGAGTTTGTTGCTGAGATAAAGTTGAGTTTAGACTTAAAACTTGAAATGCAGTGGGTGATGTTTGTTCACCGAATGCTAGGTTTTTAATTTGGATTTATTTATTTTCTGAAGTGCTACATATTTGGAAAAGCTGTTTTTTTTGTTATAAGTAGCAGTTGGTTTGAAGTAAAGAGTCATCTCACATCAAGTTTTTGCTCTTAAGCTGCGGCTGAAAGGTTTTTCTGTCTTTTTTGATGCTTTTGAAGCGTCACTTAGCAGCCCAAGGGGACGTGAGTTAGAGAACTTTTATATTAGGGCCAAATATTAACACAAACAACTTATTTCAGCTGGGGTTTTCTCGCAGAAACAGTTGTGGGAGTAATGTTGGTGTTTCGTGTGAGGATGTGTCACAGAAGGAAAATTTCACAGCTCTTGAGTGTTTTTTTTTTTTCTCAGATTTGAGAAGCGTCTCTCTCGTAACCTGGAGGCCTGTTAGCGCCGCTCTCTATCAGTCAACAGATCTTTTTTTGGGACTAATTCGCAGCTTACTGTCCTGACTTTTTATTTAAAGTCATAAATAATTCATCACTGTGTCTGAGCGTCAATTCAGTTATTTTTGGTTTGTGTTGCCTTTTTTTTTTCTCCACATCTGACACCTTCCCTCCTCCGTCTGGCAGGTGTACCACTGAGACCCATGTTGGCTCACCCTACCAAAGGTGTTGGTGAAGTGATGAAGAGGTTTGACGAGGCAGCGTTCACCTGCGAGTACAAATATGACGGAGAGCGTGCACAGGTGCGTATTTGTGTGCATGCACAGGTGTGTTTGTGAGGGACCACAACTGTTTGTTTGCCTTTAGCTGGACACCCTGCACACGCCTGCTGAATTTTGTACGCACATACCTCTCGGCTGTGATTTATTCTTTTTTTTTATTAATATGAGGTAGTGCTGTTGCACGGTCACTTAGCTGTGCTTGTATTGTGTGCCCGYGCCTATTCGGTCAAGATAAACAGTGGTGCCACTTTTACACTTAGCCTGTGGGCAGAGCAAGCCTCCACTGTCGGCCAGGTGGCTGATGGAAAAGGATGGTGAAGGCTGGAGGTAGGTGAGATTAAAGGCAGGAGATTTTGTTCGACAAAACGGGKAAGGAGGAAAAGAAGTGTTTGAGAAAACATAAAAAGACAGCAGGGGAGACCCTGTAATATAAACCCCCTCAGCTGTGTTGTTAATTTTGGACAGTCATGCTAATAAAGAGCCTTTGAACTGAGCTGAATGAAAGGAGGAGAGAGAAACACGGAGCTGCAAGCTCAGTGACGTTTCTTTTCTTTCTTTTTTTTTTCCTGCCTTATTTTCCTCACTGCAGTAAACTTTACCTCAAACTACCAGCAGGGGGACTCGTGATACACTCACTCTTTTAAAAACAATGTCAGTGTGTGTGTGTGTGTGACTTGCCAGAAGAATGTCACTTTCTTCTTGTGTGGCAGCAGATGAGTCACAATTACTCTGCATCTGTTTGCTTCTTCTTTTATGAGTTTATCTGTTTGAGACGGAGGCAACTATTAAAGGAAAAAAAATGTAAATGAGCAACATGAGTTGTTGCACCAGTTTAAATGAAAAAAAAAAGCACTTTAAAGTGATATAAAACATAATGTGTAGCTACTTATTAAGTTTCAGTTTAACATAGTTTTAACTGATGCATCATATTAGACTCAAATTTAAAGGAGGAAGTTATGAGGAGCGAGACTTTTGAGGATAGTAAGATAGTTTCAGAGCCAGTTTTAGTTTTTAGTACCTGCCTAATGTTACCTTTTTCAGGTTTTAGTTTGTGCAGCTTCCTTCTCCACCTCCGCTCTGACAGCTGGTGCGCTGTTGTGAATGGCTGTGATGATAAACGCAGTGACATGTTTTTGTCATTACAGTCACGTTTAGATGGTTTAGCTTGTGGATACTTCCACAGAACATTTCTGCTAAATGGCAGCAAAGACCAGTCTGTCTTTAAGCTGCCTCTGCCCGTTCATAAATCACCAATCGAGCCGCAAAGATGGAAATAAAGGCGGGGTCTCGGTTCAGGGGCTGCAGCCCACGTAGGGCGCATTTGTTGTCCGTTTACATCAGTGAGCCGCGCCATATGCTGTACTCATTTGTAGGCATCTTCTCTTGTAGCCAACAAAACCCCCAAAACTATGGCTGGATCTGAGTATCGTACGTGTTCGACGATATCCCAGGATTCATTGCATGTGGCCTACACGGGCTGCAACACCTGGATTGAGACACAGCTAAAGTTAGCATAGCAACAAAGGAGGCAAGGAGCTGAGCTCAGCTGCTTTGAAGTGCATTAAAAGGCTTGTTCAGTAAACTTTGATGTTCAGTTTATTATTAGCAAAAATTAAAGGGGGGGGGGGTTGTTAATATGCAAAGTGGACCTTTTTGGGCTTTATACCATGTTATAATATTATCCCCTCAACAAAAACATAGCCAGAGTGTTGCTTTGATTCATTCTTGCATGTTTGAGAAATCCTTGAATCTCCTGTGGTAGAAAGTAAAGCACCRCCTACTTGCACAAAGCTCCTCCCCCACCGAGCACCCCTCCCCCAAAGCATTGTTGYGACGCCGTGCTGAAGCGGGAGTGTTAGAAACAGTAGCTGTTTGAAAGTCCACATAAGATGTCTTTCAAAATAAACTACAATGGCAGAAGAATGTTGTCTGAGGCATTACAAGTTGTTTATTGGATTCAGCGCCACAAAGTTTCGTTCAAAAAGTCAGATTTAAATAAAAAAAACTATTATGACATTGTAAATGGCTAACTTTATCTTGAATAGATTTAAAATGAGCAAAACAGGGTCACTGTGAGTCAGTCAGTGTAATAAACTACTTCCTTTTCACTTTTAATGCCGCTGCATACAGAATGGCACTGGTGCTAACCTACTTTTTGTGTTTGTATTAAATCCAATTGTATAGCTGGAAAGTTCATGAAAAGATGATTCACATAGTCATTATTCATCTTTTTTTGAAATTATTACTTTTTCTCCACTGCCACGCTCCTCTGCGCAATTACTCCAAGTCTAAAGAGCTGCATTTTTTTTTTTTTCGGTACAATTTCAGATCACAATATGGTGTTTCCCTTGAAGTAGCAGATCCATCTGCGTGCACACGTTGTACATCCAGACACATTGTTGAGTTGTAGGTCACTTAATCTACAGCTKCTGCATTCGTGTTCACAAAACAGAAAAGATGGACTTAATGGTTGTGTGACACCAGTCAAACCTAAACTATTRGCTGCTTTTGTAGACGGCTTCTTTCTGATTCTGTAACAAGTCGATGTTTAACTTTAGAAATCTTTGGCCCAACACTTAGTGAGTCAGTCTGGAAACTCATTTGCAGAATAATTCTTAGTTGCAGCTTTTTAAACCAACTTATTTTAGTGTAGTTTAGTCCACATGAACTCCATGTTCACACCGTGTCTTTGCTTTAAATGATGAACTCCAAATTACTTTGAGTCGCAGCACCTTGGATAGCAGCTACGTGCCAAAGTGTGAATTCTTTAAACACACTGTGAACCTTGTTAGTTTAAAAAGGTKCTTTTTAAGTGCAGCACATTTTAATGTTGCACGTATTGTGTACAGCTCGTCAGTCAGAATTTAGTTTAGCCCTAAAGCCTTGTTTTCTTCTTTCAAATGAACAAAATGTMATTTTAAAGGAGGGGTGTTCTGTATTTTCCAGACACACAGTTTAATTCTAAACCTCCAAGTAACTGTAGCTGCGTTTCCATTGCAAATGTGCGCAAAACTTTGTCGATATTCTGGTAATGTCGAAAAACACAGTTTCGCAATTTCAGTGTTTCCATTAAGTAAGGATTGCTAATTAAATCAGGCGTGAATACATTTGTTCTCACGATAAGTCGTTACAAACATGGCGGCAACGGTTGTAAATAAAAAAACTTACATGACATATATTCATATTGCTACCATGTCACTAGCGCTCATCATCAACCATCAGAGGAGACGTTGGCGTCTTATCTGAGCTTTTGAGTATGCGGCGTTTTTGGGAAAATATAGACTGATTTTACAACTTCTACTTCCTTTTGTCTTCGTCGTCTTTTTTGCCAGTAGAAACATCCTGTTGATCACACGAGTCCTGTGATGTGAAAAAAGTGTTTCCATTGCAGTTTTGCGAAACACACCAATTTCGATACGGCTGAAAAACCACCTCAACCTACCGCAAAACAGTTTTGTCGAAAAATGTAAGTTTTTTTCAAAATTGGTGCGTTTCCATTGAGCAAATTTATTTTCGCAATTCTAATTTRTGCATTTTTATGGCCAATGGAAACGCAGCTTGTTACCCTCTGTTATGAAAATGCTGTTTATATCAAAAATAAATTTGACTTTACATCATGGCTTTTCTAACTACCTTGATATCRGCCTCTGTCTGTTCAAGAACCTCCTACCGTTTCTGACACTCCCACTTCAGCACGTTTTCACAACAAAGCTTCAGAGGAGGGGTGCTTTGTCGGGAGGGAGCTCAGGTTCCAGGAGGAAGCTTTATCGAAACAGGCAGAGCTTTGTAGAAATGGGCGGGGCTTTGTACCAGCAAGTGTTTCGACAGCTCCATATCACCAGARGAGATTCAAGGATTTCTCAAACATGCATGAATGAGGCAAAGCAACAGTATGAGTGTTTTTGATGAGGGAATGACTGACATTCTAACATGATATAAAGCTGATAAAGTTGATTTTGTAATAACCCCCTCTTTAAAACCAAATAAAATGGTTAACTCATAAGAAAAACTACGTATTTGTGTTGGAGCGGAATCTCAGCTACTATTACACCATATTTGAAATAAATATCAGTAAAACTGACAGCCTTTTTTTGTGTTTTGGGTGCTAAACCATCAACAGCACATCCCATTTCTCTCATGTATGTTTACTGTAAATATACAGTACGGGTACTCAGACATCAAAAACGATCAGAAAATGCGTCGACGTCTCTTTTTAAGTAGAATTTCCAAATAGAAACAGCACAGGAACCCTGAGATAGGGGTTGTTGTTGCTGTCGGYGTGAGACTGAAGTCCTGACTGATTATGCTCTATTCATGTCATCAAAGACTACAAGTGCTAATTGGCTRAGATCCAGCTTGTAGTCTCGCTCTACAATCACGTAATCTGACACCGGACTGATTGTTTTGCAGACGTCCCAACAAAAAGGCTTAATTGCCTCGCCGCACTTTGAAGTGGTAACTCCATCTGCACATGTGCGTCCCTCGGGGTGTTGTTGACAGTAGCTGGAAGCTTTCGTACATGCCTTTTCCACACTTTCATCTATCAAACTTGATAAGATCTCAGCGTTATCGTGTTGACTTCTTTAAATCGGGTGATTTTGTTTTTATATATTGTATTTTCTTATGTGTTTGTTTTTAATCCCACAGATTCACATTCTGGAGAGCGGCGAAGTTCGGATATTCAGCCGCAACCAGGAAGACAACACCAGCAAATACCCCGATATCATCTCTCGCATTCCCAAGGTAAAAACACTTGTGCAGCTCAGCCCTCGGGGAGAGGTGAGAGTGGGTCTGTGCTGTGATTGTTAAATGAGGGCTTTTACACCAATGAGGATAACRGCTGAAACACCTTTGTCTCACTCACTCTTGTCTCTCTTTTTTTCTCTTTTTTTGTCAACCTTATTCTCATCTGTCTGCCTTCTATTTGCCTCAGAGCCACCGTTTGAAAATGCTCATCAAAATTTAAGTTTTCTGCTTTCCTGCAGTCATCACAATCTACTGCCGGTCATACAAAAAAACAACTTTTAATGCAGAAAAACTGGGAGTTTCAAACCAATTTGCAGAGTGACTCGGTCTCTTTAATAGATGTCAAGACCACCAGTTGTTTAACTTTAAATTGCAGCTGCGGGTAGGCTCGCCAATTGTTGAGGCTCTGCTTGTGGGGGGAGAGGAGGAAGAGAATCAGAACCACCTGAGGCTTTGGCTGTTTGCCTGAGGTTATCGGAGCGCGCTCGCTGCTTCGGTGCCTGCTGAGTGTGTTTTCCTGCTATAGAAAGGAACTGCAGTGAAGTACCACATAAATCTACRTCTGTCTGCTGCTGTTCTTTCTTTTCATTTGTTTTCAAAACTGTGAACAGACGTCGGGAACATCACAATGAATTCCCATATGGTATGTGCTAATCAGGGCAGGTAGTTGAATCATTTAACTTTTCAGAACTGTCAAAGAAGGAAGGAAGGAGCTTCTTTTGTCGCGGTTTAATTTCGGCATGTTTTCAAACTGGAGCAGGTAAGAGACACCTGGTGAGTCCAGGTCGTATTTATTTGTAAAAACAGATTTAATTACAGGCCTAGCATATTGCCCACTCCTTTTCATACCAGGGTTTTAGACTAAAATCAAGTTGTTGAGGAATGATGCAGTGTCCCCCCCCCCCCCCCTACTAACAGAATGTACGCTGATGATACTGTTCTTTTTTTGTCTGATTTCAATATTGAATCTATTAATAGTCAGTTACAAGCAGATCTTCAGACATTTCATGGTTGGCTTCAAGATAATCTTTTGTCAATTAATGTTAAAATAAACTGTGCATGTATTATTCCTCACCCAGGAGACATTTCAGTATAACAAATCAACTCACTTTTTTAAACAAACTCCTTGATATTGTCACTACCTACAAATATCTTGGAATTACTTTGGATTCTCGTTTGACTTATCGTGATCATGTACAAGTCTTAACCACTAAGTTGAAACAGAAATTATACGTTTATTCAAAACTTAGATCCAATCTGACATCTTCTGTTTCAAATATCTATCTTCATGCCATTATACTCTCAACCATGTCGTACTGTTTACCTGTTTGGTCTCTTACAACAAATGAAGCCATAGTTAGGCTCTACAACAGGGCCTACAAAATTCATAAAAAACTTCCTGGTTGAACTCATCACTGTACAGTTCTTTCATTGTCTGATGCCTTGACTTTTCAGAATTATGTTTTGTATAGTGGTATTAATTTATATTTTCAGATCTTTCAAGGTGCCAGTTATGGAACTCTCTGTGCATTGTTGCCCAAATCAAATTCTGGAAGTGGTCATTCAACTAGATCTGTTACAAAAGGACAACTGACATTACCAACTTTTAAAAACTGTTACGGCCAGAGGTCTTTCTTCTATGTTTATACTAAAGCATGGAATGACATTCCTCAAAACATAAAGTCCATTTCAAAACTACAGCCCTTTAAGAAGAATCTTGTCTGCCATCTGCTGGACACTTTTTGYTGTGCTCATATTTAGACGTCCTATTTTGCAAATGCTGCCTTCCTGAAATTTGGTATGCTTGTTTGTCTTTGTGTCTATGGTGTATAATGATGTGATTGTGATGCTGTATTTCTGAGTGTTTTATGTGCTGCAGAACAGGAACCTGCTGTAGAACAACAATTATGCTGAGTCGGGCTTGATTTTTAGTAATCTTTTCCTGTTAAATAAATAAATCAAATCAAATCAAATCAAATCAACCGACTGCCCCACTCTGTCTGAAATGGTTCTGATAGCTTCAAATATCGCCTCGTTGTTTTGACTCAAACACACTAAAACTGACTAAACTAAACACTAAACTACACCTTAACTACATAAATCTCTCAAATCTAATTACTCAGTCCCGCTGTCACTGTCTCCATCGTCGCCAAACTTCATTCAATTTTCGCCTCTTTTTATTTTCTTCCTTCAGATTTTTTAGCACCTGTCAAATAATTTCATATGTCACTCAGAATGGAGTTTGGGTTTTGTGTTTGTTCGGCCGGGTGGGGGTGAGACCAGAGGGTGGATTGGGGTGTTTTTCAGAGGTCTACATAGTACTTGAAAAAAATAATAATAGCAAAGTAAAAATAAAAATACCTCAACAGAAAATTACTTCTGTAAAAATATATTTCTCTGATGTGAAAAGTACTTAAAGGGGCAATATCATGTAAAATCAACTTTTTTGAGTTTTATGTCATGTTACACTGTTATACTCTCATCAAAAACATGCCCAGAGTCTTACTTTGACTCATTCATGCATGTTTGAGAAATCCTGTAGAGTCCTGAGGCAGCCAGGCAGGGGAGCAAAAACGACTGGTTGGGACTAGAGCTGCCTTTTGGGATCAGCTCCTCCTTTGGGCTGTGTCTCCAAGCTGAGCTTCCTCATCACAGAGCACACACATCCACCCAGCCCAGTGCTGAAATGGGTGGGACAGAAGGGGAAGGAGGTTCTTAAAGAGACAGAGGCCAATTTTAAGGTGTTCAGAAACATATGATGAGAAGTCAAGTTTAATTTCTTTTTAAACATATAAACAATATTTTAATAAAAACTGAAGGTGACAGTTACTYTATTATGGTATAGAGTTTAAATATATGCCTGAGAAACACATAATATTTCCCCTTTTAAGTATAAGTCATAAAACTGTTCACAAAAATTGGAAAAATAAAAGTACKTTTTACACTGTCTATGAAATAAACTGTTGAATTTACTGAACCAAACTGGTTCCACTAAACCAAGTTGAGTAAATTGAGCAATGTGTACAGTATATTGCTTTATATTCACTAATGGATTTAGTAGAACCAGCTGACATGACTTACTTGAATAAATTCAATTCTTCATTTTTTTAGAGAGCTTAAACGACTCCCTTCATGAWGAATTCAGACAGATTTGATTTAGTAACGAGTAACTAGTAGGGCTGCAATAATACATGTWCCTGTATCGAACCGTTCAATACAGTGCTTTAGGTTCAATACACACTTGTATCGAACAATACAGATTTTTAAAACTAAAAAATTAAAAAATTATTTCATCAGCTTGTCTTCTGAAGATGCTCTGTGTTGAGGGATCAGTTGATCTGTGTTTGACTACTCCACCTAGGCTGCGTTGTCGAGCGTAGTTGCCTTGAAAAACTCACTGTTTCAACCACATTTAATTAAAAAACTGTACTTTTGAGGTTAAACAAATGTTCATAATTAATTTAAATAAATTACAAGTTAAAAGGGGCATGGAAATTTGTATTTTATGTATTGAAAAAATATCGAACCGTGAGATCTGAAGTATTGAACCGAACTGAATCATGAATTTTCTGTATCATTGCACCCCTTGTAAATAGGTGTTATATTTTAAAGTAAAGAAGTAAAAGTATCATTTTTAGGTTTTAAATGTAGTAAAATAAAAGTAAAAGGAACAATTTCCAAAAATACTTGATAAAATTACAAATCCTCCATTAAATGACTTACGTAATGTAATGGAGTAAATGTACTTAGTTACTGCAAACCTTCMTGTCTGACACTGTTTCCCACTGCAATGCTTCAAATATGACAGAYATAAAAATTTAAATGCTGTCATTTATTTATCATAACTTTGGTTTTACTTGGCCTGTCTACACAATTTAAAAACAGTTTATTGCTTGAAGTCTGGACTTTTGACACAAACTGCAATTTAAATGTGTCATGTGACCTGGATACACCGACATGTCCAGGGGGTTAAATCATCATATTAATCATTATCGACTAAGTGCAACAATAATTGTGATTAATTTTTTTTTACATCGCCCAACCCTACTGTTTCTAAGTTTTATTAAAATTTGTTCATTTGTTTACCAGATGTTTTACTAATGCTGCATAAAAATGAACACGAACAGAAGAATTAAATTAAATTATGTCTGTTTAGTTTGTCTTAATTGCCAAAGAGAAGCAGAAATTGTCCCCTTTTTTTATCCCTAAGAAGCAAAAAGAGCTCATTCTTTCTATTAAATTGTACGGTTAAATACACGAGGCTCTGCTTTGTGGAGCTCCTCACTAAATCTTTGCTGGGCAGTTCATTTTTATTCCTATTACATGCCAGCTTTATTTGTTTCTTTACTGACAGCACTAATAGGTGCTCGGAGAAGTTATTTAGACTACGAACTGGTCTTTTACTGCTTCACATTAAACACTTTTTGTTGTAGCAGCACTTTAAGTCGCTGATGATCAGATGAAACCCTGCTTCAAAGCTGACTGGAATACTTTGTTGCTTCTTGCTTTCCACTTCTTTTTTCCCCCCTATATTCTCAGTTCTCCCAGSTTTCTTACAGAGCTCTTTCTGACTCATCACGGCAGGTAAAGCTTACCAACATTTAAGAAAGCTCAGGAAGTCGCTCCTGTCGGTGCAAACTTTTGACCTCGCTCACTTAAACAAAATGCAGACGTCGTTAAATTGAAGGAACGACTTTGGCTTTGGTTTTACAAAATGTCAGCTGTAAAAATATCTGCAGCATCCCAAAAAGTTTTACCACAAAGTTAAAAAAAAAAAAAGTGTCTACTTCTTTGAACCAGCCATAAAACAAATCTGAATGATTTTGTAGTTCTTTAATTTAAAAGGCAAACCAAAACTCTGGGAATATTATTGCTCACTTAAATAAATGTATACCTTAGTAGAACTTGTACACTTTAAAAATAACTACATTCTTGCTTTAAAAGAAGTGAATTGTAATCTACAGTAAGCTAGTTGCTTCACCTTTATTTTGCTTCAGTTGATTCAGTTTGTTCAGACAAAGCTGATGTATTTATCTTTGCTCTCATTAAGCAGCTTGTTAAGCAGCTTTTCAGGCTCATCAATGACCCGTGTTGGACACCGATAAGACCCCGACTTTTTTTAAATTATTAATTTATTTATTTTAAATGGATGGATGTTTTTTGAGATGCTCGGGCAGAACTTTCCCAAACTTTTTGAAAATAAAGCAGTAATTCTGACAACCGTGAGGATTCATGCTCTGAATGTTGCTCCTGAGCCGATCTCACCTCCGTGTCTCGTCGCTCTTCATAACTTCTGCCCTCGAATGCTCCTCTCTCTGACTTTCAACTCTGTTTTTTTTCGGTAACTTTAAAGGCAACATGACGCCTTCCCTCTTGTGCTCACCTTGTTGCTCTCTGTGTCCCCTTGTCTCTTTCTCACATCTCTCCKTCTAATCACTCCTCTCCTTTGTTCTTCATTATTTCTTGATGAACCTTATTCTTTCTCTCAGTACGTTTGGCTCTTTTATTTCCTCTCTTCTGATTCTTATCTCATTCACCCTTGTCTCTTTTTCCTCATCTTTTTTTTCTAACTTTGATGCTACCTGTCTGTAATTTCACCTTTTTTGGTCTCTGCCTTCTTTACCCTTCTCCTCCCACTCCCTCCCAACACATCTTAAATATTCACTCTCACCCTTTTCTTCCTTTGTCTGTCAGTGCTCCAGACTGCTGTCTTCTCCTACCTGTTTTTTTCCCCTTCAGCTCCTTTTTATCCCCATCTCCCTTCTCATTATTTGTCTTTCCTACTCCTTTATTTTTTATCTTACTCCCCTTTAACCCTCCTCTTTCATTCCTTTTTGCTCTCTGGCACCTCATCGTCWCTTCACTCAGCTGTATTTCATGCTACTTTGACTTTATTTTGGTCTTTTTTTCTTCCGCTTAAATCATACGGGAGGCAACATTTTGAGCTTTATTTGCATTATGTGAGAAATACGTAGCAATTAAGTGATGGGATTTATTTAAATTTGTTTCCCTGCTTGTGTGATTCACAACGCCTAATTTATGGCGTTTAATTTATTTGTGCTGTGAAAATGGCTCTTGTCAGCCGTTTGAATGAAACTTTCATCCTGGAAATTGATCACCAATCATTAATGTGGCAGATCATTGATTTAAGAAATTGCTTAAATTAAAATTGCATCCCTTTTCCTGACATTCTGTTGTCGTAGCAGAATGCCTTTTGGTGAACRCAATAAATGAACAATGCCCGTGTGAAACTTCTCACCAGCGCAGAGGAGATGGTCTGATTAGATTTTCCTGCACCTTGCTGCATTATTTTGCATATTAATAAGGATAACCAATTTTCCTTGTAGCTCCCACAGAGCTTTAAAGCTTTAAGTTATGAATTAATATCTGCATACATATTAATAGCGATCCATTTATTGATAATTAATGCATAACTTAGCCTAATGACCTTATGGGTATAACTTATTGTGTTTCAAAATGAGACTGTTTTCAAACAACCTGTTACTGCTAATGTGGCTTTTGATCAGCTGCTTCAGATTTCACTTGCAGATAAATTTCCAGCTTGTTTACATTGTAACTTAGAACAACTGAAGAATCCTGGTGGTAGATTAGACACTCAGTTTGATGTTATAACTCAGCTTTGGTGGTTAAAATAATCTGCACATCAGTTACGTAATTCATCCTCACTTTAATCCTGACTAGCATTTTCCTGCTCAGGAGCTAAATGTCAGCTTCAGTAGCATCTTGGACCTTGTCCACATGGAAACAGTTTGCTTTTAGCTTTAGCTTTTTTTTTAAACTTTGTTTTGTTGTTTCTAAAAATATCTCCATAAACATAAAATCATTTCAAGAACTGTCTTCATTTATACATGAATGATGAAAATGACCAAAAATCGATTCATTTTAATTCAAAWTTTTTACTTCCTTGAAGGAAATTTTATAAACGATTAACTAAATGTTAGTTGCAGTATTGTATTTTTACACTTTCTGATAATTGCAGCCATATGGTTAAAATAGACAAAGAGTTGGTGTGTGTCTTATCATGTGTTTTGTCTAGCCTAAACAAAAATAAGTTACCGTRTTTATTCTAGTATAATACGAAAAATTCAATCCRTGAAATCATCCATAAAGTTGGGCGGTAGTACTATWYTCGGATCAATGTTTTTGCTTATGTATTTTAACTGAAATATCGACCTAATTCAYAAAATGCTAGAAATGAGACCACGTCGTAAAAAGCGGTTGAAGCGAGCTTACCTCTGACACTCCTTCGTGCCTCTGAGCGAGATAGTAACAGATCCAAGCAGGCAACCTGATGTGAAAAAAAATTAAAAAGGCAGTCCTGCAGCTTAGTAATGATAACGAACTAATGATATTAATGTGCGACCGGGCCGCTGCTGGAACAACAACAAACACATGGTCGTCTGTAATGGCTGCCGTCTACCGGTGTTCTGTAAAAGTTGGTCTACCGGAAAGAAGTTTCCCACCAGAGGGGGCGCTCACGAGACACAGGGAATGAGGTAGCTGAGTGGGATTCTGATGCCTTTATTACAGAGGAGGAATACCAGAAACTTTTAATGATACTGATGATGGTGAGCCTGATTTTGAAGGCTTTTGATTCAGCTTCATCCACACTCGTTGGAGCCTCATAGCTCTATCTGTTTGTTATATCACACCAGGTAAAAAATGTGTATTGCTAAACTTCACATTGATGGGTTTTGTTGTAGTTATCGTTATACATTTGTTGTTGTGAACCTTTTAGTACATAAGTTGTTAAAGTAAAATAAAAAAAATGATACAACAATCGATTATTTTACTGACCTTTTATAAAGACTGCAAAGGCTGAAAAATCCTGAAACCCATATGAAATTGAGGTATTATGAGAATTAAAATTTTAAGCTTTTTAGGTTAAAAATAGGGTGGGGGCCTTATTATACGAGATCGTATTAGACACAAAAAAAGTTACGTTCTACAGTTTTAAGAAATCCAGTGGGTCCTGCTTTTATTCATACATGCTATTATTGAACAGCGCATTATTTCTACACCCTAATGGAAAATTTAATAAAAGTCATGTAAGTGAACATAATAATAAAGTCGGACCAATACAGTTATTTAACAATTTGAGGTGYAAGAAAGTATTGATACACTGAAATATTSTGAACTTTTATTTCCTGATACTGTATTGACTTTTAATTGAGGCTTAAAAAGTAAACGTTAATGCCAGCGGYTCGTTCTTGTTGTAATTGAGGCTCTGACCACTAGTTGGCAGCAGTCAGTCAGCCATGTGGCTCCTCCACTCCTAAAGAGCCAAAGAGTTTAACGCTAGCTCAAACATTATCATTATGGCTAATCATATAGAATATTTGGAGAAAACATGGTGAAATATTGTGATATATCATATATGTCAAATTCTTGCCAATACACAGCCCTAATAACAATGAGAGAAAAAAAGGAACACATCAGTTAATGCATCAACAACAGTTAGTTCAGAATGGAAGTGACCAAACATATCAGAAAGATAAAGTGTTAAAGTTTGAGTTATCACAACCCAGAGTTGTATAGTTTGGATTTTTCTGGGTTTCCCTTCTTGTAGGGTTGGGTAAAATCRTATCGTTTTAATATCARTCRTCAGGAATTACCWATTACTGTCACCAGTTAATATTTGCCACTTTGCAAATACTGTATTTAGTGCCATGTGGTGCCCATGTGTGCCAAATGGTGGAAGGCGGCATGGATCAGCTAACCCTAACCCTGTGAACTAACTCTTACAACATGCCGGTTCAGTTGTCATCCAATAATCGTCATACTATCGACTAAATGCCACAATTAATTGTGATCATTTTTTGCCTATATGACCCAACCCTTACCTCTGGACCTGTAGCCATTTTTTAATTATGAATAAATAAATAAATGGAAAAGAGGGAAAATAATCTCTCGATGGGAAAATCTGCACCTTTTTATTATGTAAACCAATTTAGTCAAGTTAGTTTTGTCCTTTGATACAGTTATCTGCATGCTTTCTGGTTTTAGCTGGTTCTCTGATCATTGTTGGTCCTTAATGCTCTGGCTTTGATTCTGGTACCTTTTGTTGTGAATATAGGTCTAAGTCAGTTGTRTGAATATCCCTTTGTTTTCTCTTGAGCCCTCTCAGTTTCAGACTCTAAAACACTCTTTCATTAGGTGTGCTTGAAATTAGTTCACAAACTATTCAGGTGGGGTTTTTCAGCCTTGTTTATTATATTTTTTTAAACATGACAGAGGCAAAGTGCTCCGGCCTCAAAGTGCCCTCAGTTTGATTGTGAAAAACCACTTATTTTACTAGAATGTTTTAGTTTATTGAATTGATCTTCAATTCTTTGACAGTTTCCTGTTATTGTAAACGTTCCCTCCTTTTCACAGCTTGTATATTTTATTAATTTCCTTTTGCTGTGCACTTTGTTTCCCCCCCACAGATAAAGAAGGACTCTGTGGTGTCCTGTGTCCTGGACACCGAGGCCGTTGCCTGGGATCGCGAGAAGAAACAGATCCAACCCTTCCAGGTCCTCACCACCCGTAAGAGAAAGGTACTGATGGAAATGGGATGTGATAAAGTGAAGGGAAGGAACATTAAAAAATGTGCTTTGTTCGTAAAGGTAGAGAGYGGGAAATAATGAGCGAAGAAGGGAGGTGTGGAAAGGTTAAGAAGAGAAAACAAGACCGAGATGAAGACCTGAAGGTTGAGGGGAGCCAGATAATAGAGTGAAATGATCCGACAGACTGGAGGAGATGGACAGAAAAAGGAGCTAAAAAATTGGTGGGAGACTGATGGGTCGGAGAYGGGAGTTACCGGAGACGGACGAGTGAAATGGGTCGAGAAGGGAGGTGTTGGGTTTGAAAATGTCAGCAAGGTGTTTGTTCAGTTTTGATCAGAGTAACGGCCGTTTTTCCACTACACCAATCACATTAGGCTGAAACGGCTCCCTTCACCTTGTCTTCTGATATGCATAATGACGACTCGGCAAATTAGGAAAAGCAGAAATGACTGAGCAGATATGGAAAACACGATGAARAAAATGGCTAAAATGATTACAGTGATGTCTTTTCCTTTTTTGCTAGAGACTCTTTGCTGTTATTATGCAATCATAATTATATGTAATGATAGTTTGATTCACAAACTGATTGTGCGCTGCCCCTCTGGTACTCTGTAACAACRTTTCTGGTGTTTCACTTCCACAGGCACATCTTGCTGGAATGAAATATTCCAGAAGCGAAGRTGAAACCCGATATGCTTTAATTAACCAACATTAATGAGCAAAAAATAATGGAGGAGGAGAGGGAGAGACTAATCTTTTCTGTTTAAAGAGGAGTRGAAACCAAAGTCTAAACTAAACATTTTGACATTTTAAACTGAATGGACTTCCACCCAATTGAAGATCAGTGTTTTAAAGGGGACATATGATGCAAAATGCACTTTTTTTTACCCATTTAATACATTCTGTAGTGTACTTGGAGTCTCTAGGAGTGCAGAAAAGTTTAATTTAGTCTCTCCTGGTGCTGCATAGATATCTTGTTCATGATYAGTTTTTTCATATCGTCCGATCACGATTAATATCACAATTTTTTGTTAACCTAAAAAGTGACTTAAAAATAMTTTAACAAATAAATAGCTACAGAAATAAAATAAAAAAAAAYAATGGCTRTTATTTCACTTTCACTAAYATAACAAATAKCTGTGGTTCAGTAGAACATKAAATTATTTTTGCAAGGTATTAAAAAAGGTATTTACCAAGAAAAAAAATAGTAAATCATAGAATCTCACATTAATGAAGTTATCCTTTTAGAATTGAATTTCACATTAAATATGTCATAAAGAAACATAAATCCTTCAAACAGCAACAATTTGTGCAAATTTGCCTRTTGGATAGGATCTAAGCTCATTACTTTTGTTATGGAAGGAACCCCCTCCTGTTTACAGAGCTTYATCAAACAACGGACAAAGCTGTTTCATTTTTTCTGAAAGAATATCTGATTCTGCACACGACAACAAAATGTTGCTTAAACTCCCAGCTGTTCAGGAGTTTGCAGCGTCTCTCAGCTGCTGTTTGTGATGCAGCTCAGACAGGAAGTGGTCTTCAGGTCTCGTCCAGCCCATCATGTGCCGATAAAACTTAAAGAAAGTTCTTCTCAAGATAAATGAACCGCTGTGACATTGTTCTGTCCTAATCCTAAACGTTACCCTGAGACCGCTTCATATTTTTGGAGGACGTTTTTGTTTTAGCGAGCCACGCATTGCAGCTCTCTTTTCTTTTTTTCCCTCTCTCCCTCTGTGTCRGGAGAGGAGCTCAGGGCTCACCCTGTGAGCCTGTTAGCAGCTAACAGCAGGTACAGGAAGCGACAGCGGCCAGAATACCTCAGAAACTCGCCCAAATAATTAAACTCTGTGAGATTCTGCGTTTTATACTGGATTGGTTAATTCTGCGATTCCGTCTGYGTTTCWTTAGCAACTTATAAACGGAAGTGGAGAGGGTGGATWCTGATTGGCTGTTGTTGCGCACATTTCCGCCATGCTTGATCGAGTAAAGAGGCTCACAGCTGATCACCGTGATCARCGTGAATYTTTTCTCGATCAATAATCGCGATCAAATAATCGCCCAGCCCTAGTTTTAACCATTGAGGACATTTTTTACTTTATATTTCATTGAGCGTGCTAACTATTACTAGAAACTGGATACCCCTGGGTGGGAAAAAACTCCAAAATAAACTCTGGGAAGTGTTTTTAACAATCATCAGCTACGGATTACCAACCCAAAATTGTTACAATCAAAACAGAAGTTTCACCTGTAACGTTGTTTGGGCTCTTTAGACACTTAAACTCTGTCATTAAGACCTTTATTGAGGATAAACTTACATTAACCACAGAGGAATGGACCCACACTGGTGCTCTGGGTTTATGGAGCCAGGATGTGTGTGACAGGAGTGTGAATTCTGTGCTAATACATAAGCAGTGTTCCCAGCGATGTGTTAATACAGCAGTAAAACGTATCAGCCATTTACCCCGAGGCTACTGATACGTGTTAACATCGCTAGGCAGTTCTTAAAGGTGCCATGTGGAGTTTCATTGTCAAAGTTTCTAGTCACACACTCATCAAACTCATTATATATTTACGCTTCTGGCCACAAAAGCACACGTAGCACTTCTCTTCTGCAGCATTTGCAAAATATTTGCCAGGAGCTTCTCTCTCGCTGCTGCCGCTGCGATGCGTTTTCTTGGCACTTTACTCCAACCTGTTAAAGCATCATTGTGAAATCATCAATTAGGAGCTGCAGTTTTTGGATTTGCTCCTAAAAATATGATTTTAAACAAGAATAATTAAAGAAAATATGGAATCGAGGGGATGATTTATTAATTCACAAGGTTTGAACGAGCTAGCCAACACAAAGTGCTTATCGAAAAGCCGGTGCAGTCAGTTCAAAGGAATTCAATTGCACTTCATTGTAGTTCAGAAGTCATGGATTTCTACAACCGCACCGTGATGGAAACATCGGTAATAGAAGTCTGTGTCTGGTGGGGGTAGGAAACAGTGGAGTCAACAAGATGAGGTGCAGGAAAGGTGAGAGCTGAAGACGTAGAGGAGATGAGCGATGTGAGTGGGGAAGCAGGAAATAATAAAGTGAGGGGAAAGTGATGAGCACACCGAGGAGGATTGATGCTCTAAAAGAAAAGGGGTAGTGAGAAGATGGGAAGGCTGGGTGGTTAACTTTTAAGAAGAAATCAAAGAGCTGTTTGTAACAACTCCCAAGGTTGGCGGTAGCAATTTGTGAATAAAATGTGCCTATTTGCATGTTTTTATCCAGAGGAAAACAGTCAAATGTGTGTGCGTGTTGTTTCTGCAGGATGTGGACGCCTCAGAGATCAAAGTCCAAGTGTGCGTGTACGCCTTTGACCTGCTCTATCTCAACGGAGAGGTAAGGCTCAAAGATAAAAATATCAGCCAGAGATCTGGCAAAATGTCGTGTTTACTGTCGGTGAGCACACGTGCGCCGCGCTCGGGATGCAGACCGTGTCCTTGAATGCCAATGATGGTGCTGTTGTGGTGCTGTAACTAGATAATGATTGTAACGCTCATTGTAATTCCAGCAGAGTGTGTCTTGATTGTGTGCCTGTCTGAGGCGCTCAGTCTCAGAGTGACTCTGTGTGTGTGTGTGTTCTGGATGTTAGTGTGGTCCAGTGTGTGTATGTGTGATTATATCCTAATGATGCAAAATTTTAAGTAAATTTCTTAAGCCTGCTGAAGACAATGCTCATTAATGAGTGCTTCTATCAGCCAGTGAAATGGGAGATCTCCCAAGTGGATGGGAGCCAAATTACATCATTAAAGGAGCCCTGATGACTCTTAAATTCTGCCATTTTCATCGTTACTTCCCGCCTAATTTGGAGTTTATGTAAATGTTGTTATTATATTACTGTGTGCATGTGGTTTGTGACACGTGTTGTTTTATTCTGTTTATTTACTGACCTACAGTGGGGAAAATAAGTATTTAGTCAGTCACCAATTGTGCAAGTTCTCCCACTTAAAAAGATGAGAGAGGCCTGTAATTGACAWCATAGGTAGACCTCAACTATGAGAGACAAAATGTGAAAAAAAATTTGAGAAAATCATTTTGTCTGACTTTTAAAGAATTTTTTTGCAAATAATGGTGGAAAATAAGTATTTGGTCAAAAACAAAAGTTCATCTCAATACTTTGTTTTCTATCTTTTGTTGGCAATGACAGGGGTCAAAGGTTTTCTGTAAGTCTTCACAAGRTTGGCACACACTGTTGCTGGTATGTTGGCCCATTCCTCCATGCAGATCTCCTCTAGAGCAGTGATGTTTTGGGGCTGTCGGCGGGCAACACGGACTTTCAACTCCCTCCAAAGGTTTTCGATGGGGTTGAGATSGGGAGACTGGCTAGGCCACTCCAGGACTTTGAAATGTTTCTTACGAAGCCACTCCTTTGTTGCCCTGGCAGTGTGCTTGGGATCATTGTCATGCTGAAAGACCCAGCCACGTTTCATCTTCATTGCCCTTGCTGATGGAAGGAGGTTTGCATCCAAAATCTCACAATACATGGCCCCATTCATTCTTTCATGTACACGGACCAGTCGTCCTGGTCCCTTTGCAGAGAAACAGCCCCAAAGCATGATGTTGCCACCCCCATGCTTCACAGTTGGTATGGTGTTCTTTGGATGCAACTCCGCATTCACTTTCCTCCAAACACGACGAGTTGTGTTTTTACCAAATAGTTCTACTTTGGTTTCATCTGACCATATGACATTCTCCCAATACTCTTCTGGAACATCCAAATGCTCTCTAGCAAACTTCAGACGTGCCTGGATATGGACTGGCTTAAGCAGGGGGACACGTCTGGCACTGCAAGATCTGAGTCCCTGGCGTCGTAGTGTGTTGCTGATGGTAGCCTTTGTAACATTGGTCCCAGCTTTCTGCAGGTCATTCACTAGATCCCCCCTTGTGGTTCTGGGATTTTTCCTCACCGTTCTTGTGATCATTTTGACCCCACGGGCTGAGATCTTGCGTGGAGCCCCAGATCGAGGGAGATTAGTAGTGGTCTTGTATGTCTTCCATTTTCTGATTATCGCTCCCACAGTAGATTTCTTCACACCAAGCTGCTTGCCTATTGCAGATTCAGTCTTCCCAGCCTGGTGCAGGTCTACAATTCGGTTTCTGGTGTCCTCCGACAGCTCTTTCGTCTTCACCATAGTGGAGTTTGGAGTGTGACTGTTTGAGGTTGTGGGCAGGTGTCTTTTATACTGTTAACGACTTCAAACAGGTGCCATTAATACAGGTAATGAGTGGGGGAAAGAGGAGCCTCTTAAAAAAGAAGTTACAGGTCTGTGACAGCCAGAAATCTTGCTTGTTTGTAGGTAACCAAATACTTATTTTCCCCACTGTAGTTTTGACCAATCTGTTTTTCGTGTCATTTTTTTATTTCGGTATTTTATATTTTCAGTGTATTTTAGAATTAGAAGCTAGCATGAGAAAAGAAAATATTTATATATATATAAATATATAAATATAATATTTAAGGGAAAATTTAAGGGGAAATAGTCACTGCAGCCAAAAGATAAGGATTAAAATTGAAAACAAACGACTGACTGTATAAATGCCTTTCACACCAAGAGCTGCTGGTTCATGACTCACTTGAAGCTACTTTAAAATGCTAAAAGTTTTATGTGAAATATCTTGACATATTTGCCTAAATATCTCTTATATAACCGGTTTTATTGCACAAACAGGCTTTTATTGTTGAGGCTTTGAAACGACATCTGCATGATCCGTGTATTCACTTCACTTTACTCACAGCTGCATGTCGGTGCTGCTTCAAAGCATGTTAGCATGGAAGAACATGACATGGTCTCGTTTTTCCAGCATGAATTCAACAAAAACCTGCACATGCTAACGAGTGCTCAAACCAGGCTGGTTCTCCACACACCAACATGGCTGATTGTGTTTGTCAGACGCACATTTCTGACTCTGTTAGATCAGAACTTCAATATTTCTGTGATTATAACCTGCATGAAGATAGTTATGTTGTTAATTAAAACCTTTGCATTGTTTGCTTCAGTTTGTCGGCAGAGGTTTGTGATCATAAGGAGAATTTGTCGTATTCGTTTTTTTTTTCTTCAACAAGAAAATCTAAAATGGCTTTAAGAGACGAGATGAATCAAAAACATGCTTTTTAAAAGAAAATGATGTGTGACCGAAAGTCCTTGTGCGTGTGTGTTTCTTCTGGAGGTTTGTGTGTGATCATGCGTGTGTGGGTGTTTGTATGTGTGCCCAAAGCTGCCGAAAATGAGTGCATCACTGAGTGTATTCGGAGACGGCGCTTGTTTGTGTGTGGGTAGATGGTTGAGATGGTATTTCATCCTTGTCATTGGAAGCCTTCAAGCTATCAAGAGGAAATGGCTTTAATGATGCAGTTTTGCCGTTTGTAATGATGTTTGTGTTTCTTTGTGTGTGTGTATGTGTGTGTGTGTTCAGTCTCTGGTGCGACAGCCACTGTGTCGGCGTCGGGAGCTGCTGAGAGAGAGCTTCTCAGAGGTGGAGGGAGAGTTTCAGTTTGCCCGTTTCATCGATTCCAACAACACTGATGCCATCGCAGAGTTTCTGGAGCAGTCTGTCCGAGGTGTGTGTGTGTGTGTGTGTGTGTGCAAGATGGAGGCAGACTTTTCCTCCTTGTTTTGCTTCCACCTGTCTCTTTGTCTCCCACTTTTTGTGTTTTCTGTATGTTTGTTTACTTGTCTACTGTCCCTCTGTGTCTTTGAGTCTTTTGTTGTGTGTGAGTTTCATCTCGTTTGTGTTGCTTCCTGCTGCCGCAATGTGGATATTGTGTCTAGCCTTGTGTTCGGGCTTTGTTTTTTTGTGTTTCTCAATGAGTGTGTGCACACTTGCGAGTTGTATAATTGAATTTTTTTCCTTGTCCTGTCTGCCTGACTCTGTTTAGGGTAAAAATAAAAAATGAAACATTTCCCGTGTGTGTATAAGTCATGTGGCCGTCCTTGTCCACTTTGTCTTTGTTTCCTGAATCTGTTTGTTTCCTATAGAGACTCACAAACACAACAACATTTCACATATCTGATAGATAATCTCTTAATTTCCTTTCTGCACATCCAGAGTCGTGTTTTGGTGGATTAATGTGTTTGTGTGTGTGCAGACTCCTGTGAAGGCCTGATGGTGAAAACCCTGGAGAAGGATGCTACCTACGAGATTGCCAAGCGCTCTCATAATTGGCTCAAGGTGTGTGTGTGTGTGTTGCTGTGTGTGTTGAAGAGGGTTGGCATTGCTTCCCAGCAGGATGTAACATACACTGATGAGCCAAAACAGTAGAACCAAAGACTGGTAAAGAGAATAACTCAGATAATCTTGTTAGAAGGCGATGCTTTGCTGCGTACTGACATCCATGCAAACTAAACACTTACAGTATATAACCAGGAAACAGCCTTTTATCAAAGTCAGAAAACAAAAGATTTTAGCATTGTTTTTGGAAAATACTTTGTGAATTCTGGATGACTTTGCTAAAATTTGTTGACCGAGCTGAATCTTAAATATTAGAAGTTAAAACAAGTTGAACGGAAGCTAAATTGAGCTGAACAGTGAGAACAAGAAGAACAGGAAGTTAAAACAAGAAAAAAATTATTGGATATTTTGTGTTTTATTAACGGAGATCCAGTTTTGTATTTTCACTCATATGCTTTAAACAGAGTCAGTATTTCTTTCATTGCGGCCCTTTTACGTTCTAATTCTAAACTGAAACTCTGATTATTGCTCAGATTGAACGGTTTCATCACGGTTCACACTGCAGGTCTTAATGCTCAGTTCCAATTCCTTGAAAAAATCCGATCTTTTTGTGTGAACGTTCACATTACATTTTAAATGTGACCTGCATCAGACTCCTGTGTGAACGCTACACAGCACTGATGTGACACACATGTGCAGTAAAAGACGTGACGTCTCATCAGCCGGCTTGTTTGTTTACAGAGCTAGCATGGATGCTACATTTTGCGCATTCAATCTGAAGTTGTTGTTTAATCAGAGCCAATTAAATAATTATCTGACCTGCTTCTTTAGTTCAGTGTTTATATCTGAACCTGCCTCTGACCGGGATGCTCCAGAGAAGCTTTTTTTTTTTTTGAAAGAAACTACGAGCTGGAAAAAAGTATCAACCGAGTAGCTAACTTTAGGATCGATACTCTCCACGACCCAGGCTGGACATTGTTATTATCAGACTATCTACGTGGAAAATGAAAAGTAAAAAGATGAAGCAACTGGACTTGTGTTTTGGAGCTGTAAACACATGGAGCTACAGATTTAAACAGCGAGACTTCAGGTTAGTGTCTTATCGATCCTTCACCCCCTCCTCCTGATGAAAAAGTCAGATGAATGTGACATGAGCATTCACACTGCAGTCACTTTGAAAACATCAGATATATATCCGATTTAAAACCACATACTGAAACGGCCTACGGCCTGGGTCGGATTTGAAAAAATCAGATTTGTCTCGTTCAGACTGTCATAAAAAAATCGGATACGAGTCAGATGGGTCAAAAAAATCGGATTTGGGTCGGATTTTGCCTGCAGTGTGAATGTAGCCTTAGGTCCATGTGTTCAGTCCAGCCTTGGAAACCTTGGTGCCATTTTTGCAGTGTCTCTGAAACAACATGCAACACAACTGACCAGAAACTGTTACTTTCACCTTGGAACATCTCAAAATTGAAACATTTCTTGTCAAAAGCTGAACTTGAAATGGTCATTCATGCATTTATTTCTTCTTGTTTGGACTATTGTAACAGCCTGTTCACTTGTTTAAACAAGAAGGAGTTAGACCGTCTTCAGGTTTTCCAGGACTCGGCTGCTCGACTGTTAACTAATATAAACAAAACGAGCTCTCATCACACCTGTTTTGGCTTCTCTTCACTGGCTCCCAGTTCATTTTAGAGTTCATTTTAAAATTCTGGTTTTAACTTTTAGAGCCTTTCATGGTCAAGCCCCATCATATATCTCAGATTTGAGCCAGCTTCACACACCATCTCGCAGTTTGAGGTCATCAGGTCAGAGGATGTTGGAGGTACCCCGCACACATTTTAAGTAGGGGTGTAAGAAAATATCGATACACTGAAATATTGCGATATTTCATTTCCCGATACTGTATCGATATTCTAAAGCCCTGTATCGATTTTTAATTAAGGTTTAAAACGTYGACTTTCCTGCTACCCGTTCATTTTTATGTTGTAGTTCAGCCTCTGACCACTAGTTGGCAGCAGTGAGCCAGCCATTTGGCTCCTCTCCCTCTTGAGTGCCAGAGAGTAAGGGTAGCATTAGCATTGTAAGTAAACATTAGCTTCATGCTCCGATAGCTGAATCTGAGCGGAAAAGACCGACACCCTCTGCCTTCTAAGCTGAGGTAAGGTTATGAACAATTACTTATTTGTCAGAATGTCTGTATTTTAAACCAAATTAAGTGTCTTGTGCGCTCTTTTTTCCAACTTTAGTCAACCTTCACGTTACAGAAGGCTAGCGCATGTCTATGTAATAGAATTTTATGAGACAATGAATTTTGGTTTTTCATTTTTTTCCAGTAAGAGGTTTTTATTTAACAGAATTTTTGGACCAAAAAAAAATCGTAATATATCGCCTTGCTTACAGTATCGCAATATATCGGGATATATCGTATCGTGACCCCTCTGTCATGATATGTATCGTATTGTCAAATTCTTGCCAATACACAGCCCTAATTTTAAGTCCAGAGGGCATCGGTCTTTCCAAGCAGTTGCAGCTCAGCTCTGGAATGCTCTGCCCCAATCTACACGCAGCTTTGATTCTAAACATCGGAAAACTWTCTTTTACAAACAGGCTTTTAGCTAAGTTTCTCTTTTTTTTACTACTTGTACTTTTGTATGAATACAAATGCTGTGATGTTTTCATTTATTTTATTGTTTATTTTTTTATGTGAAGCATTTTGTGATTTTATATCTAAGAAAGGTGCTATATAAATAAAGTTTACTTACTTAATGTTTGACGTAAACRGTACCGCCCCCAGGGGCGTGGCCAGGAAGTTAGGTTTACATACATGTGACTTTACGAGGGGGGTTCGTCATCATTCTTTTTAAAGCAGCTGCTCCTGAGAGGGTTCTTGTTTTGTTTCTGATCAGACTTAAGGCCTCAAACTCACTGAGTGAAGTTTTATTTTTAGATTTTTAAAAAAAAGATTTTTAACAGCGAATCAACTTGTTTTCTGCAAACTTACTCTGACTTTTAATTATTGATCACATTTTTTCTTACATTAGCTAAAATATGAAAAAAGTAAAACTTTGTCATTGTTATTGTAATTCCAAAGCAGCTACACAATATTACGTTTTAAAAAATGTCTTTTCTATCTCTTTATAAAACAGTTGGCCTAACCTTTTCCTTTGTTCTCCTCCCAGCTGAAGAAGGATTACCTGGATGGAGTGGGGGACACCGTAGATCTTTGTGTGATTGGTGCCTATCTGGGGAAAGGAAAACGGACCGGCACTTACGGCGGCTTCCTGTTGGCCTGCTACGACGAAGAAAACGAGGAGTTTCAGTCCGTCTGCAAGGTGAGCGTGTGCAGTGCGTTTCGTTAGGAGTCGTATTATGTTACACTCATACATTCCTGCTTTTCACCAGAGTCAAGTTTAACAAAATAATAAATTAAACTACTTTACCCTCCTAAGACCAAACTCTTTTGTCCACTTATGGTGCCAGGTCTTAAGAGGTTAATATTTCCTAAAAGAAACAACTTAGAAAACAAGTAAATCCATCCAACATTGACTTTTTTCATTCAGTTTATGATCATATTGTGTTAAAACATAAAACATTTATTGTGCAAATGATTTTCAGCTTGTATTGGCTTATTTAGATAAATTTATATACTGTATTTATTCATGTATAATACTAGAAATTTAACCCTAAAATCATCCATAAAGTGGGGGAGTAGTATTATACACGGGTTATTGATAATTAGATTTTTATTATGCTTTTTAAGGTCAAAAAATGATGATCGTATTATACAGGAATAAATATTGTAATTTCACTCTAATTTTTGTGTTTGTGGATATGTGCAGTATGTCTTTAAGGTCTGTTTTACAGTATAATTCTTAGTGAGAATTAAGTGTGGAGTTTTTTGTAGTTTTTATTAAGCAAAAATGTGTGTTGTGTGTTTTGTTTTTTTTTCCCGAGGTTCCGCACCTCCACTTAAATCTGGATTAGAGAAAAATCTTTTTATCTGCATGGWTTGATTGTTTCTGAGTGGATCTTAAATGAAGTGGAGTGTTGTGAAGCATGCGTGACCACTTTAATCTTTTTAGTTTTAATATATTAGAAGCTTAAAAAAGTTGTTGAATATCGGCCCATACTGATGAAGTATTAGTGCCGATATGTTATGCATCTGTAATTGATATTAGCTGCGTTTCCATTGACCATTAAAATGCGCAAATTAGATTTTCGAAAATAAATTTGCTCAATGGAAACAGGTCAGTTTAAAAAAAAACGTCCTTTTTTCAACAAAATGTTTTTGCGCTAGGATGTGGTGGTTTTTCGGCCGTATCGAAATTGGTGTTTTTCGCAAAACTGCAATGGAAACTCTTTTTTCGCATCACGGGAGACACGTGATCAACAACCGGCTGTTTCTACTGGCGAATAAGACGACGACGAAGAAGAAGACAACAGGAAGTAGAAGTAGTAGTAAAATCACCGAAGTTGTAAAAGAAAGTAGTAAACTCACCAACTACAATTTCCCAAATATGCAGCATACTGTATGTAGTCGCTCCCAAGTATGAGGGACTTGTCGCTCGAAAGCCTCGATAAGATGCCGACGTCTCCTCTGCTGGCTGAYGATGAGCGCTAGTGTTGTTGTAGCAACATGCTATGTGTTTACATCCATTGCTGCCATGTTTGTTATGGCATCGCAAGAACAAATGTATTTACGCGCGACTTCAATAGCATTTCTTACTTAATGGAAACACAGCAATAGTGAAACTGTGTTTTTCGACATTAACAGAATATCGACAAAGTTTTGCGCACATTTGCAATGGAAACACAGCTAGTGATATGACACACTTATATCCTGATACATTTTTCAGCCATATCACCCAGCAGAGAATGGCATCTGAATAAAAGGCKAAGACATTATTTGAGATGAAAAGTCAGAGCTGAGCTCTATTTGTCCAAACTGAGGCCTTTCAAAGACCTATCAACAGATAAGATTGTATATTAATTTTCCAGAGCCCTTCCTCAGATCCTGTATACTATTACAAATATAATAAAGCAGATATTGCTGCCAAAGGAGGGACAACTCTATTTCCTTTCAATCACAGTAAATTATCTACATAGGAGCTGTAATGTTGGCAGTTGAGGATTTTCTCTCCATTTATCAGTGACCCCCTGAGGCAGAGTATTGACTGCAGGTCACCAGTTTTGGCAGCACTCTGCGTCCAGTGCACAATTACTTTTATTATTTGTGTAAAATGAAAGACGATTGACTGCATACGGTCTGAATATCTCATGTAGACGCCGGTCCGATTGATTGAAATCAAGACTGCGTCGCACGAGCCGGACGACAGAAAAAAAAAAAAAACACAAAAATGTACAGACGTCATTTATCTTTTTTCAGCGCTGCTCCATGGCAGCTCAGGAATTAAAGGTTTACGCCATGTGACTGCAGCATCCTGCGCTCCTGTGCGCTGCTGCTTTTCATCATCCTTTTTACTCCCTCGGTGCTGGGCGCAAAGCAGAAGCAGARCAAAAGAAATCAAAYGGTGATGGCAGAGTTTGACTCACTTTTCCCTCTAATGATCGTATCTATATACATCCTGGGCTGGAGCTCCGGCCTTTAGTCACAGTCACCTACAGATTGAGCCGCTTCCTTTATGTTTTATAAACACAAAATGCAGTGGAGTTATGACAACTGGTGGGCATTTAAACCAGAATTGGTTCATTAGATACTTTTTTTTTGGGCTTAAAAACACCATTATTTTTTTTATTTATCGTCAAAACACTTAATCGTATGTTTTGAGTGATTATTCAAACCAAGTAAAAACACCATATTTACAGCTTGCTGTCTCTGTAGTTGGTTTCCTGGTTGTTTGTTTAACAGGCTGGAATGACTCAGAGCAACAAGCTTTATTTAGTTTTTTATTTATTTTTTTAATACTTTGTGTCAAAAAGAAAAATCAAGGAGCCCTTTCAGGAAAAACAGCTGAAGTAAATGCTGCCAAAAACAACAACAACAACAAAAAAGCTACAGCACTACACTTTTTTTCCCAGCATGAAATAGAACGGGAGTACGCTCCACAAATA